AAATGCTTCGTCATTAACGCGGACAACCAGTCAAGAATTGCTAAATAGGGTTGAAAATTTAGTTAACAAACTTCAATTAGATTATTCGAAATTAGTTGGGCAAGCCTACGATGGAGCTAATAATATGAGTGGTGGAATTACTGGTTCACAGACCCGTTTGCAAGCCAAAGCGCCACACGCACTCCGTTTGGTGTCATGCACATCGACTGAATCTAGTTTCAACACAAGCGATGTCATGTACCACTGAAATGAAAAACTGTATTGGGGTTCTCGGCGAGCTTCATTCGTTCTTTTCTGGTCACGCCAGATATGGCGTACTTTTAGGTGAACAACGACAGAAAGGTAACAAAGTTAATCTATAACGAGTTAATACAACACGAGCATGGTCCGCTGTCGACCGAGCAACTAATACACTAATTGATCATTATTCAGAAGTTTTATCTGCACTTTCTATCCTTGCTGCTGATCACAGTTCAAATGAGAAAACCGTGTCGTCTGCCAAGGGATTAACAAAACAACTAAGAAGTTTGAAATTTGCTACGTGTTTATTTATTTTACGTCAAATTTTTAATATTCTTGGTCCAGCTATAAGATGTTTGCAGGGTGTTGCCGTTGATTTGAGTATTACTTCTTCTCTTCTCAATGATACCGCCAACCCTAATCGACACTCCCTAAGAAAGTCCCCAGGGACTCCCCGGGGAGTCCCTCTAAAACTCCCCGGGGATTCCGTAACGGGAGTCCCCAGGGATTTTTAGGGGAGTCCCTGGGGACTCCCCTAAAAATCCCTGGGGACTCCCTGTAGATCTATTGGTCCATCTGTTTTCATATAATTTCATATAANCAAAACAAACGGTGAATGGGGAGTTGGCAGGGACTCCCCGGGGATTGTATATGTTGGGGACTCCCTGGGGAGTATGAGGGTGACTCCCTAGGGACTCCCCGGGGAGTACACATTATTAGGGACTCCCCAGGGACTTGGAGGGGGAGTCCCCGGGGATTATGCATTTTTCGGGGAGTCCCCGGGGACTTTCAGGGGGAGAGTCGACTAGGGAATAGACTACAGACTATCCGGTCGGATGTTAAACAACAATGGAGTGAAGTGTTAGATAAAAGTAAGCACTTTGCTGAAACTAATGGTTTAAATAGTAGTTTGGGGGAAATACGACATAGAAAACGAAAAAAAATGGTTGATGAATTCTGTGAAGATGAGTGAGTTAGTGATATGAATAAAAAATTACAGGTGGAGGTGTATATACCAGTTTTAGATAATATTATTAGTGCATTTAGTGATCGTTTCGATGAAAATACAGTTCAAATTTACAAATGTATGGGATATTTTAGCGTTAAAAGTTTATTGACATCTCACGACATACAGCCAAGTGATATAAGTGCATTATGCAATTTTTATTCATTGGATAAATCATCGACAGCAAAAGAATTAAATGAATTTCGAAAATATTATAAATCTGCTGAGAAATTTGTTGATGTATCAAATATGTTGCCAACCAAATATCAAAAAAATTACGTCGATTTCGAACGTCAATTTGTAAGGAAGCAATGTGGCATATATGATGAAAGTAATGAGGGGGACGATGACAACAACGAGAATCAAGATCCAGAGGACGATGAAAGTGGAACTGAGAAACAAGTTGACACGAAAGATCGTTCAAAAAATGAAATAACGGCTAATTCAGAAATTAGCCGTTATTTATTCAGAAACTTAGCTAAAGAAAATGCGTTATACGCTTAAGCTCTATTTTATATATACTATCGCCATCAACGACACTTATCTATAACGGCATCTCTCCTACTTTTTAAATGAGTATATTTATTGATTGATATTTCATCCAATAACTTTTCTTTTATGTTCCCTTATACAACATTATATAGACAGGATACCTACTCCTTGATCAGCATCTAGTGAAAACTAGAAGACTGGAATGGCATGGAGCGTAGTTAAGACGAAGGATTGATTGAAAATTTCTTTTCGATCAATCATATGTCTGCCTTCCATCCAGGTTTTAGTCGCTTCCTTTGCAGCAGTATCGAGTGATCGTGAGTCATGTGCCTTGTTGACAAATGAGGCATTTGAAATGAGTTGGGAAATTCCAACTTGTTTTTTTTTTTAAACTTTAATGCTCATCTCTTCAGTCAAACAGACACTGAAATTGGGTTATTCCGTTGCATCTGTGACTAAGACTGTTTGTTCACGAAAAGTGAGGTCACTGACTTGTAATAACAATGACTCAAGTCAACAAACACCAAAAAAGTAATAAAAAGAACCAAATAAAGAAGACAACTAAGGTTAAAACCAGACCTAGTAAAAAAAAATTTTAAAAAACAGAAAAAAAAGTGTGTCCACGGGTATCAAGACCGTGAGCATTAGATAGTTTATCCAAGACTGTCACGCGATCCCCGTTGTCGGGATTCGAACTCCGTATCCTTGAAGTACGTTATCTGCCCACTAGCTTGCTGAGCCACGCTGTTCATCCTAATGGTTTTGGAGAAAAATTTCCCCGAAAAATCTTTGAACAAAAACCTGATTTTTTTGTTTTTTCAATTGTATAACCACGTTTAGCAGATAAATATATCCTGAAGTTTTCAGTGGAAGTCTCCCACTTTGAGCATAGACTGGATAAAATACATACTGTTTATCTGTACTTATATTGAACTCATTGTTTCACAGTCTCATTAGATGACAAATATATATTTAATTCTAGATACAAAAAATAGAGATATTATTATGACGAGTGATATTAAAAGCTTTACTGTAGGTTATATTCATCTGTAAAGTCAATGATAAACTTATTTAATAAACTTAACTTTTTCCTTTTGCAGAGCAATGATGGATTCGATGTATCCAATAAAAATGCACTTGACAAAAAATACTTTTGTGCTTTCTGTAAAAAAGTGATTAGAGATCCAATGCAAATGCAGGAATGTGGTGATCGTGCGTGCGTATTTTGTTTAACGTCAAAAATAGGGTAAATATACATAAAAGAACGATAAAATAGAAGATTGAAGAAAAAGTTAAAAGATAAATTAAATAGACTTTGTTTACAAACTCTATAAAGCTTTTTCTACAAAATGACGTATTATAAAAATATCGATTAGATCATTGACAATTGTAATTTGGAGCAATGTAACTAATAAGATATTATAATATCCTTGAGATATCAAAATATCTCAAACAAATTCTATAAGTGTAGTCTCACTAGACTAGTTTATATTAATAAAATCTTAATCCCATTTTGTGAATGTGTTTATAGACTTTATTTTATTTTTTTTAGAGAGAATGATGCAGTGGAATGTCCTTTATGTCAGATCGTATCACAAAAAGCTGAAGTATTTAATATATGTCATAAAAAAAAAGATTCACCAGTGTGAAGTAGGGATGGAACAGTTCCAGTTCCTGTATTGCTTAAGAATCGGTCATCAGTTCAATTTCTGCTGAACGGGTACTGGTTACCAGTTTTTTTTCAAAAATTCAAAATACATAAAGTCAATGGAAATTGATTCACCGGTTTTATTTCAATTTTAATTTTTTGAAAAGAACTGCTACCAGTTCCCGTTCAAAAGAACTGAACTGGAACTGTCCCATCCCTAGTGTAAAGTTATATATTTTTTGCACCAATGTTATAGTCTGTTTTCTATTTTAGTTGATGTTAGACACAGGATTCAAAAAAGAGTTAGCATCATTACAGGTGGAATGCATCGAAAAAGAGAAGGGTTGCAAATGGTATGGATCTTTAAAAGAGTATCAGGTAAGATTTGGCCTACAATAGCAATTTTCTGAAAGAAGAGGAATGGATTTTTCAGCTAAAAAATCGTTGTGGTACGTTATTTCGGGATTACAGCCCAGGTTATCAAACATTAAACGTCTGCATCCAATTCCTGTTCTGCTGAAAAATTTTCATTTTCGCCAAAAATCATATAAATTAAATCTAAAATAATAAGTCAGAAATAAATGAATACTAAAATGTAATTATTCCTAAAGAAAACAGGATATATACACGTTTGAATCAGTGACTAAGCGAATTTCATCTCCAAAACGTTCATACAGTTAGAAACGAAGAAATAGAAAAAAGCAAAATAAACATCAGTATACTTTAACAGATATATCTGACGAAATTAAAGATAAACTATTAAATGAATCTAACTGTTTACTAGTACACACATTTTCAATTAGACAGCTACATCTCTCACAACTGTTCTTAGATCACTGCTCTATTCATTTGGTGTTGTTTTCAATTTTTTGTATTTGTTGACTGTTTATGAAAAAAGGTATTTATTCTTTCATGTAGAAGTTTTCCTAGAAATATTATCTGTTATTTCAGATAATTCTATTCTGACAGCTCTCACGTTCTTATCTACATCACCATGCTTTTATTCACACTCCTGAATAACATGAAATGTCGAACAGATTAATACAGGTGCCGGTGTAGAAAAACAGAAAACATCTCATAATCGTTCTAATTTACTATACTGCCAGGTATGCAGCAAATCTTTTATTAGATTGAGCGGTAAGTGTTGTTCACGCCAAACTAAGCGCTTGTTATATGCATGAAACATAGAAATTTGTTCTTTAAAGATAATTTCTATTTATTTTTTCAACTTTTGATGTTTTTGCTTAAAATTCTTGAAAAAAGGGGGATGAATTGAAGGCCAGAGTATAATGGAAAAACGATAGTAAGTTCTGCTTTATGTGAAAACACTTCTGAAATTTTGGCATTGTATGATATAAACAGATTTATTTGCCAAAAATGAAAAATTCAATAGGTTATGACAAAGAATAATTGAAAATAGATATATTCTTTCAACGTCACAGAAACATTGATTTTGAATGAAAAAAAGAAAGAAAGAAACACACACTCTACAAACTTGAGACTACTTGATAAAATAAACTTGTAGTGTCTATACAAAAAACTATTTGAGGCTGATGAAGCACTCATCACACGGTAAGGCAAATCATTCTATTCCTTCGCACTTGTAATGAAACAATTTTTTCATAAAATGTTTATATAAAAGAAATACACCTTTGATAGTCAATGAATCTCTGCTAAAAAATTTCATACTATGAGATAATAATTTATGATCAATTGATTGTGTAGTTAAGAATATCCTACCCTCATTTCTTCTCTTGTTACAGAATAGCTAGAATTATCACAAGAGTATCTTTTCGAAAAAATAAACAGGCATATATTTTACTCAGACCTTAGAACTCACTTCTAGATATGGTTTCTAGGAAAACCAAATTTTTTATTGTGTCATACCGATCCCATCGAAAGTTTGTCTGTTCGAGCTCAAAATTTGCTCACAGGTACTAGGTCCCAATATGTTTAGATATTTTCGATGATGTTTTTTAGCACCTTTTCTTCATAGGGAGGACGGCTGATTTTTGAGAACGTCATCCGATTCTCCACGAAATTTCCTTATAAATCCAGTCTTGGTTTTTATATTTTTGAATTCTTGAAAATGAACACTGTGTTGTTCGAAACGTCGAAATAATTTTAATTTTATTTAATAAAGGAAAGTAAAATAATATTCCAAATAGCTGTTGTTACAATAGCATTTCTATTGAAATTATTACCCGTTAACAAATTTAATATTACGGTATGATTTTGTAATAAGAGAAGAAATTAGGGGGAGATTAACCTTAACGCTTAAGAGCCGAATGTCCCTTCCAAGGTACATTTGAATAAATGCAGTACAAATCCTAAGAAGACTTTTGAAACAGAAGTGGATATTTTTCTGGGCTGAGATGATCTTGGTGGTCATACTGACATCAAAATAAAACCTTCAAGTGGTTGCCAGACGAATCAATTGATTTTTTACAGCTGATAATGATTTTGAAATAATTTTTCTTTTTAGATTTTCATTTATTCAGAAATGGAACGTATAGTCTCGTTCTTTCTCTGTAGCATCCTTCGACATAGCGTCAAGCTATCTGATAGATGTATTTCATTATTTTTTTAACCGATCTAGTGACAGATTACGCCAATGTAAAGGAAATGCTTCATGGATGGGATCTTTAGGCTTATAGAAAAACAAAAACTAGCAATTTCAATCTGAAAGTTCGCTCAAACATAGCTTTACTCATCTCTAGAGCATCTTGAAAATTTCAGCAACAACGGTTGTTTCCTTCGCGACATACTGAATGTCGAAGAAAAGTCGGTTTTTAGCCATTTTTCCAAAATGTGACCGGTTTTCTTGGGTATCAAATATCTCGATAAAAAAACATCTGTTTTAAGTGAAAATTTCAGGACGTTTGAAGCATTATGAAATCTATCTAAGGGCAGATTC